AATTATAAAAAAAAATGTGGAGAAAAAAAAACCAAAAAATTTAGATGAGTTACAAATGTTTATGATCGAAGAATGGGAGAAGGTTCCAAAGAATACCTATAAAAATTTGATCAATTCAATGCAAGAGAGATGTAGGGCAATAATTGATACAAACGGCGAAAGAATAAACTATGGTTCAAGTAATCTATACTCGACAATCACGTGATCAAAAAACGAGCATCTTTTAAAAATCTAAAACTTTTTACACAGCCGAGATATAAAAAAACTGACCAGTAACTTTGTTCCTTATGACAAGATCTATAAAGTTACTGGTCAGATTTTTGATTAAGTTTATCTGTGAAAAGCTTTAGGTATTTAAAGTTCATATATTAATTTGAAATTGAAACGAATCATGTAGGAATTCCATCGAATATTATTGGTTAACATTGTCGTGATATCATCAATGTTACTATTATTAAGCGACGCGCCACAATATCGCGTTCCCATCCCTATTGTTCCCACAACATTCCCCCACGATTATTTTGTTCGCTCCGCGGACAAACTTCAATCTCAACCTGTCGTTCCACATTTCCCGGGGCATGAGGGGTTCTCCCATCAGTCATTAAGCTAGGTGCCAGCTGTCATTCATGACATTTATTAATGCTAGCTCATGTGCCATGCCAACTGTGGTGGCTTCGCAGTTCCAATTCAAGTTGTCTTCTCCGAATTCCCACTTCGAGTCACGTGATAAGCCGGGCCCTTGGAGTACTTCAATATATTGGTCGGTTCGCCCTACATTCTCAAATTTCGCAATAACAGTGTTCATATTCCACGACACAAACGTTTCCACGGTCTCGCGCCAGTGTGTGATCGTTCGTGGTCGGCACATCGCAGGCGGGTTGTTAAGCCTGATGACATTATTCCCTGCGAGTGAGTGTTTTATCTTGGTTGCCGACATCACTATTCCGTTGGTTGGCTCCCTTACGGTTGGTATAACTTCGTGTGCTTCCTGATCATTCGGGATATCACTGCCGTGATTAAGGGAGCCTCGCATCACCACTGCGCACTCAGATTTCGAGACGGTACTCTTGATCGCGTTTTCACGCTCGATCAGTAGTTCTGGATTCTCTTTCCAAACCATCTTATAATCATCATCATCGTGCGAAGCGCTAGTTTTGCGAAGACGCCCGAATACGTTACCACCAACTTCATTTTAAACTCTCGTACAAACGTTCCTATAACTTGTTGGCACGATACCGGGATGGTGCGCTGCCTGAACGTCTCGTCGCCGGGCGCATGCACCCTCCAGGTAATCACAAAGGTCGTTCTTCCCTCTTGATCCCTCCTTTCACCTCTTGACTACTTTTGTGCACTCTTTGCATAATCGGAACATCATCAGTATCGACTACTTGTCGCATTACCTCAGAACACACTACCCCTTTGGTCATTTCTTCGAAAGTTCTTGGCATCATTTTAATCCTTACTTTATGTTCTTTTCGCAGGTCCCCACCATCCTTCGTTCCCTGTCTTCCTACTTCGATCTGATCTCCATGTAGATCGAGTGGTTCCCCTATTGGTGCGGCACCCTGTTCCCTTATTAATGTCTTTTCCGTTCTTTCCGGTTGACCTCCCGGTCCTTCATCTGTTCTAATCTCCACTCGATTTCCCTTGGGCGACATCAGTGGTCCTACACATCGGGCCAACTGTTCCGCGGGGTCTGGATCATCGAGGGTTCATCATACATTTTCATGGTAAGATGTTCTTCCTCCCCTCCAGTCCTTTCTTGGCTCTCGTACGTCGTCAGCAGCTCTTTCGTCACCGCGACGTCTCGTTCTTCCGCACTCGCTTTTCTTATTGGTCCGCATTGCCTTCCTGATGCAGCTTCTTCGACCATCAACGACGTTTCCTCAAATTGAGTGGAATACGCCGCAGGATCCGAGATCTTCTGTCATGCCTCATCATCGGAGCTGGAATCATTACTCGCCTCCCCTATCACTTCTTCCTCTTCTTCAAAGGATATCAACCACTCTTCTTCGTCTTTCTCCATCTTTCCTTCCTTACTCGAACTTCCGTTCCACGAAGCGTTTTCGTCATCCGTATAAGATCCCTCACTGCCGATCTCGTCAGCAAATACCCTTTTAGAGTAATCATCATTCTGAAACGGTAGCTTCTTCTCACGGATGTCGACACCAACTTCTTCTCTAGGCCGCGTTCCATTCTGCAGATCCTGTCTGATAGTGGCAATTATACTCTCTGACAGGATGTTATCAGTATCATTATAAGAGGGGGATTTCATCACGGCAGGATCCCTTTTCCAACCTTTCGTTCCACCTATGCCATCCCTTACCATTCGGTCCTTCGTGTGGTATTTCTTGATGTCAGACTCAATGTGAGCAATAGGTACGCTGCAGTTCCTTATCCTGTCGCGTGCCTGCCAATTCAATTTTCGGAAGTGGTCCTCCATCCTTCTCTCCTTGTTCTATCCTTTTTCGGCATCGGCATCGGCTTCCATTGCTACTTCGAGCGCTTCCATCGGATTCGTTGCGTTTCTTACGGCAGGTATGGATAATAGGTCTTCCCTTAATCCAAGCCCAAGCATCCATTCGGCTGCCTCCTTATGATAGTTGACCTCAGGGTTGACCTTTTCGAGTAGCTTCGCAATCCTGCGGACGTACTCGATTACTTTTTCGTCCTTTCCTTGTTTCATGTTTTTCAATTCTTCTTCCCACTGGCGCCGTTGTTCGAGCATCACGAAGTGTTGCACGAATGTTGGCGCGAAACTCCCTTCGCGGTCGTATTCGTCGTCTCAACAAGTGAAACGGTGCCAGTTCTCTTCGTACCAATCCAATGCAACTTCTTCGAGATACTCACCTACTCTCCTTAGTTTTCTATTGTCCGTCCAGTTATCTCGTTCGGTGGCTTCGTCGTAGAGCCTTATCCATAATCGTGGATTTTCCTCTACTCCGCCTCCAAATCTTCGAATTATGAGTTTTTGGGTTCTTCTTCCTCCGACATTCGTCTCCCATTTTCGGTCTGTTCGCACGTTTACTGGATTCTTTGGGATATTACGCCGTGAAGAGGTGAGGGGATCAATTTTCTTATCATCCGTTGTGTCAATTTCAATGTCATACATCGTTAGCTATCACGGACTTGTCACGGGTCTTGTACGATCGTCCTAAAGAAGGTAACGTCTTGTTTTCTCGACGATCTCCGAATTTACTAATGGTTTGTAAAGATTTCCTGTTGGTTTTCTCCTTTCTTATCTTTCTCACAACTAACACAATCTTCGTTCGCGCAATTTATCGGGGGGTAACAAGCGTTCAAATATCACAGTCACCACCAAATGTTGTCGTCACCGGCGAGTCTGTTGCTAAAACGGCGCACTCTTCGCGTGACGATAATCCGAACGCTTGGGTTTCGGCACTAAATAAGGTAAGGCTTTAACCCCGAGGCGGATTACGATTTGACCGACTTTCGCGCACTTGCTAATATTAAAGTGAAATTCAATTCTGATTATACAATATTGTTAATCTAACTTTCAAGTATTCAGTACTTTTTTCTAGATAAATCGAAACGATGGAGAAATCTTGAGTATTAAATTAAAGTGACAGGCAATTTTGCTTCTTTGATTACTACACCTTTTTTGTATTATTTATATGTAATAATATCATTATATTATTTATTACGTTATTTATTATATTATATATCATGTTATAAATTTGACTTCAAATATTTCAACGGTTTCTGTTTTCTTAATCTAATTTCATAATGCCACGTCGTAAAAAAAGACAACAGCAAATAAGTAGAATACCTAGAAAACAAGGGCGTTTTGAGACTCAAAAAAAAATATCAGAAGTAATAGAAATAGATGAGGCAATTAATAAGACATATGAAGACATTAGAGAAAATGTGAAAGAAGCGATAACAAAAGTAGGCAATATAAAAAAAAGATCATATACTGGAACTTCAAGGTCGACAATCTGGAGAAAAAAAAAAAACAAAACAAATGAAATGATGGATATATCGTTTAATATTGAAATCCCAACTACTCTACCATTATTATTGCAACCATCCCAAGATATTATACAAGATCCGATATCACCAATTGATACCAGAATAAGTCTACATACACGTTTAGAAGAGGTTAATGAACAATGTATAATAACGAAATCTTCAAAAGCTAATATACCTACCTATGATTATCTGCGCCTTTTGAGTATAAACAGATTCATATCATTGTTATTGGATGGAAAGAATAAAATGGATGCTAGCATTCAGGTTGCACGATCTGTATGGAACAAGGGTGATTATAAGGCAAGATGTATCCGAAAATGGGGAGATTATTTCATACAAACAGGAGAGCTTTTTATTGATCACCAAGGAAAGCATAAAAAACTAATTGGTTTGTTTGAAGATAATAGTTTCTCTATAAACTGCCAATCATGGCTACAACAGCAAAAACCAGAATTGCGTTCACCTAAAGCCCTTAAGATATATATCGAAGGAACATTATTACCAACACTAGAATATATTAAGAAAGATACAATTTCCGAATCAACATGCAAAAACTATATGAAAATGTGGGGATATATGTATAACGAAAAAAGAAAAGGTGTTTATTATGATGGGCATGAACGACCAGATGTTGTAATATATAGGAAAGAGTGGTTAAAAAGAATGTTTACTTATAAGAAACATATGAAGAATTTTGAAAACGATAATGTAATAGAGTCCCAACTTAAGCCGGAACTTGTACAAGTAACACATGATGAATGTCACTTTTATGCAAATGATAGGCAACGAAAAATATGGACCATAGAAAATGAAGAAATATTGTACTCAAAGTATCCAGGACGCTCTATTATGGTTTCAGCCTTTATTTGTCCATGCCATGGATTATTACGATTATCTGATGAGCAATTGTTGACAAATCCGCATATCAAATATAAAGAAACTTTTGTTCTTCGTTCTACACAAACTGATGGATATTGGAAGTCGGAACATATGCTGGATCAGGTTTGAGTTTTTTTTTTTATTAACTTCTGCATTAAATAATTTAATAATTTAATAATTTATAAATATAGCTTATATATAGAGCTATTCCGATATTTGAGATATTACATCCTGGATGTATTGGTGTTTTTTGTTTTGATCAATCAACAAATCATATTGCAATGGCTGAGAATGCATTGATCGCATCAAGAATGAATTTGGGTTCCGGAGGTGTACAACCTAAAATGCATAATGGCTGGTATATAAATAAAAGTGGTAAGAGAAAAACACAATTGATGGTATTTCCAAACAACTATTCAGAAGAGAAACTAAGGGGACAACCAAAGGGTATAAGACAAATATTAAAAGAACGTAAACTTTGGCCAACAAAAGGAATTTGTTTGATATGTGATCAATGTTCTAAAAAAAATGAATCGAAAAAATTAGATTGTTGTGCACGACGAATTATGTCACTGCAACCTGATTTTTGTGAACAACAATCAATGCTAGAGGAAGCTGTTATTAAAGCTGGACATATATTTGAACGATATCCAAAGTTTCATTGTGAATGTAACTTTATAGAACGATATTGGAGTTGTACAAAACGAGAAATTAGACAAACCTGTAATTATAATTATAAGGATTTATTGAAACAGGTTCCAAAGGTTCTTATCAATGTTCCTATAACAACCATTCGTAACTTTGCACGCAAGTCATGGAGGTACATGGATGCTTATAATAAAGGATTGGATGGTAAAACTGCTGAATGGGCAGTTAAAAAATATAAGTCACATCGTCGTTTGCCGGAAAGAATTGAGATGGAAATGGAATAATTTATGTATTATTTTTTATTAAAATTCTATTATTTGTTAATTACTGCTTGAGATTTAATTAGTTTTAATATTTTTTATATAATATGTATACTTAAAGTGAAAATTTCGTTTCTTATTTTGAATTAAGAAAATAAATCTTTTTTTTTCTTAGAGATAAATAATGCTGCTTGCTAATATTAATATATTAACAATAAATTAAAAAAATAATTTTATTGATCTTATTTTAAAACTGCTTTAATATAAGCATATCTTTATTTACTAATATTTTAAAGGAACATAATAACTACTTAATCTAATATTAACTATATCTATTAAATAGAATTACAACAGATACAAAAAAATAAATCTATATGAAACTTCGCTTAACCATCTAAAATAATAAAATAGTAACTCAAGTAAATTGTTGTATATGTCTCATCATATGCTATTTCATAATTCCCTTCCAATTTTCAAAAAGCGCTCTAAACAAATTGGATTTAATTGAAAAGAAAAAGAAAAAGAATTTAAAATTATAAAAAATAAACAGGTTTACTTATATTGTATCTCTCCAGAATTGAAACCCTCTTCTTGATAGAAGCTTGTATGAAAAACCAATAATATCGGTCTTATATCTTTACATTGAAGAACTCTTGTAAGCTAAGAACAAGAACAACTAGAAATAAATAATTTTCAACCCTTATACTTTCTTCTTTTTTTTATCAATATTATTAATAGACATGATTAAGAAACAAATCAATATTAACAAAAGCTTAAAGGATATATTTATACTAAAATTCAAGCGAACTTGAATTAAAAAGTAAAGAAAAAAATCATTTTTTATTGTCTTTCCTATTCTAAGAAATTGAAATCTTTAGACTATGAATCAGAACTATGGTCCAGTAGACTTTTTTTTCCAAAATTATTTTTTTTACTATTAGACATTAGATATCATAATTATTTGTTAGAAAACCAGGTGAAGAAAAAAAAAACAAGTATAGAATATTAAATAAATGTTTTTTAAAAAGAATTAAAAAAGGAATGTGGAAAGGTTTTATTAGCAAAAGACAAGAAATCTTATATAAATGCCCTTTTGAATAATGAATAAATAGTTGCGAAGAGAGTTTTTTAGATTTGATGATTTTATTGGTCAATTACAAAAAATGTGATAACTGATTGTCTTTATAAAAAATTGAAACATTTCATGTGATTGTCGGGTATAGATTATTTGAACCATATTTAAAATATATATATATATATATATATATTATTATAAGTCAGCCGAGCATACAGGCCCGGCCCACCCAGCTCGTCACACTTACATATTATCGAGAATGCCGTTTGAATTAGATTTTTTGTATCAAAATAAGGATACAGTATCCTTAGTAACTTAAATTTTATTTGTAAAAATCACTTAATCATTGACACTTCTGTAAAAAGATCCCTTAAATATAAAATTATGTTTTACATACTCTCTTGAAAAAGTGATTTATTCTAAGGCGTCCTCGTATTTACAACTGACAGTAACCTACCTCTACAATTACTTATTAGATTCAGGATATCAGTGCCGTCAAAATTTTCGAATGTTGGTTTTTTAAACTTTTGTCAAAAAGAAAAATGCTTGTTTCGAATTATTAAATAATTGCAAAACTTCTTAGTTTTATAAATTCTCCATTGTAATTTACGAAGTATTATTTTAAATAATCGTTACATACCTATTTCATCTTTTGAACTTGCGTGATAACACCGAAGTAGCGAAAGGCTACCGTATTCTTTTTTTTTTTTTTTTTAAAAAAAAAAAAAGAATTCATTTCCTGATTCTAGAAGTTTCATATGGTTTAAATCTCTGTCTATCATGCTTGACCGCACTCTTAGATGGCGAATTCGTTTTTTCCGTTATTTTCGGTGTGAGTGAAGTTTGATGAGGAGGTGGTGGGAGAGATGAAGAGTTTACAGATCGAGAATCAGGTGATGATGAACTTTGTTTCATTTGCGCTAGTTTTCGCTCTAATGCTTGTATTTTTGCATCAGTGCTGTGTGATAAGATGGAAAAATAACTCGTTATTTTAAATATGCAATAAACAAATAAATAATAAATATAATCTACCTAGCGTTGACCATTTTGTGAGCTTTCAATAAGGATATGGTGGTTGGCCTATTTGTCGCCATTGACGAAAATGATCGTTTCCTCGAATTATTCAAGTTTTTACTATCGAAATTATCAGGTGCCTAGGGGAATTACAAATCCAATTAATAAATTACGCGCATATTTGTATATATACTGTATATATATAATAATAATTCATACAGCATAGGCAAATGTCACTATCATGGACCGGTTTTTGATGACTTTGGAATGCATCACTGTCATGGCTTTCAGAGCCTCCTACATGGAATTAGAGTTATAATATGAAGTTTACCAAAATCACAAGAAATATAAAAACAATATCAACAATACCTCTTTTTTGCTATACTCCAAAAAGCAGTAGCCCCTCGGTTGTCCGCGTTTCGGTCCGCTTTTATGAAAAAGATAATCGAGGTGGGTTATTTTCCCGAAAGGTTCAAATAACTTTACTACGGCGTACCTGAGAAAATAAGGGAGGATAACGTATAACGAAAAAAGCAAAAGTAAAAAAAACTATAAAAATATTAAACAAGACGCACTCGTCAACGGTTATATCCAAGTTTCCAATATACAAACGTTTATCGTCGAGCTGATTTGTTAAAAGGTCGACGACTCGTTAGATCTGAAAAAAAAAAAAAATCGTTCACATAGTGACAAAGCTACTAAAAGAATGATACCTTGTTAGAGGATCCTTGCGAAGATGACATTTATTTTATTTTAAACAAGAGTTCGAAATAAGATCGTATGGTGGCGGGTAATCGAATGTCGTTTCTAATAGACTAGAATTTCCAAAATGTGCGTATGTATGTATATGATCTACGCATATGCACAAGTTGATTGGGTCAGTTGAAACTCTTAATACGTATACACACACATTCATAAAAACGCGGGTATGAAATGAGTAAATTCGTTTCTGAGAAACAATGCAACTTTGCGGGGAGCACACTTATACTAGTGAGGATTTTTCCGTACCCTTTTTCAATCATAAATAACACCGTATATTGATTGACATTTTGACTCTATTCACAAGCCCTCAATTTCAATCGGTAATGTGCCGCAACTCACAGTTGATCTTCTGATAACAAACTTACGTTTACAAAGAATCGGATTTTTGGAAGACGAAAATGTTATACCAGTTGCTGGCGCGTCTGAAACTGGTGTAGCCGTTGCTGTTGAAGGTAAGAAATAATTCTCTTTTGTCTTTTTTTAAGAATAAAAAGGTAATTGAATTTTAATCGAGGATTTCATTACGAATTCAGTGTATCAGTCAAGTGACAATGAATGGACTGTGATACAACAAAGAGCACCAGTGATTAAAGTAATTCTATTTATCGGCAAAATTTATTATTATTATTGTTATTAAAAAATTTCTATCGGGGTTTTTTTTTTATTTATAGAAAAAATGGCGTATTTTCGCGCAAAATTTATTGACTTTTATTAAAGAATCACGATTTTCGAAAGTGATTCTACTGTCGAGTGCGGACGCGACGCGAAGGATGGATTTTCAACTCACGGGGTAAAGTTTAGACCTATACTTTCAAGATTAATGCAAGAATATGGCTCATAATCATTATCTTCACAGTATACCTCTTAGATTCTTGATGACTTCATCTCTTCCTGACAATTTCTCGGAGAAAGCAGTTGACCTTGGATTAAAAGTTATGGAGAAGATTCCAAAAGATAGATTCGAATCTTTAAACGAATATCTGGGAAAAAAACAAGACGAAGCCGATTTACCCTCAATCCCTGGTGGAGGGATTTCTAAACATTTGTTTTTCGAATGTCAAAAGGAAAAGATCCCGTTATTAATGATAATTTGCTTTGCAATCGAAGGAGGTATATAAACTACTTGACTTATTTTTCGGCGTTTCACTTTGTGATCTTTAACATGATAACTTGATTTTCTAGATAATACTCAAGATGCCTTCTTACTTGCTGATTACACTAATGCATTATTGGGATTAATCCCTCACCAAGGTATGAAGTCATCATTAAAGAGGTTTTCATCATTTGTCTAAAAGTTATCTCTTTTTCAGACACTCTGACAAAGTGTTGGAAGATGCCATCAAGTTGGGCTGGTCTATTTGGAACACCATATGATCAATCATTGTATCAATAGACGTGTTCAAGAACATCAGAAGGTTGGAGGAGTTACATTCTCCCTTATTTTTCATGTCTGTCCGCATAATAATCATTCACCCTCAACAAAGTTAAATCTAATATCCTTTTTCTTTTTTTTTGTAAATGAATATAAAAAATTTTCATTTATTTTCATTTTGTACAAATTGCAAATCTTTATATTCCTTTACCCCCACGAAAATCAGCATAGAAAAAACAATGCTATTAACAAAATTCACTAATTATACTAAAAAGAAAATGAAGTTTTACGTGCGACACAATCGAGGTCGAAATGATTGCGGCCCTGAATCCTTATAATTAATTTTTGTTTGCAGCTTCTATTATTAATACAAACTTAATATGTTTAGTTGTAAAGACGTCACGTTCGTTTATAAAATAACAAGAAAAATAATAAAAAAGGTATACGATATGTAGCCAAACATGTGAGAATATCTGTCCATTTTCCATTTTCTGTTTCGCATATTAACAGCAACATGACTTTTTTGTTTAATCGGTAATTTTCACCTCTAAAAGAGAGAGAGAAACTCGCATTGTAAGTAGCGTGCGCAATCGCGCACCGTTTCTCACACGAAATCCCCATCCCGCCCACTTCAATAATTTTCTTGTTTTTTTTTTTAAACCAATCCTATAAATACCAAACAACCCCCCAAAAAATAAACGGCACAAAAATACTTGAAAGCTAGTACTCTTATTTACCAACCTCATTGTCATACGAATCCGGAGGCGGAACTGCATGATATGAACCACCTTGACTCTTATCTTCAAGCGTCGATGTAGGGGATAAAGTATTTACTTCTTCTGAAGTCGTTAGCGAAGCGGATTGAGGTGGTGCTTGAGGTGGTGGTGGTGGTGGTGCTGGCGCTGGAGTTGCAGTTGCAGTTGCAGTTGCAGTTGTTGGATAACCGACAGTTTGGTATGCAACCGCAGATGGATATCCTGCGTATCCATAATAATAATTGATGTCAGTAGGTTGTGTCGCTGTTTGTTGACCATAGTAATTATATTGTTGGTACTGTTGGTAATATCGAGATTGATTGTACGGATTATAGGGATTATTATAGGCTGCTGCACTCTGGGCACTGTACGCATTTGCTGTACTCGTTCCATATGTACTAGTATTGTTATATGGATTTGGTGTAGTGGTGGTGGGTGAAGATACCGTTGTTGTGGTAGAAGCAGTGGGTTGTGCTGGTGTTGGTGGTGTTGGCGGCGGTGGGGGTGGATAAGATGGTAATGGAGGTTGTGACGATGATGCAGAAGATGTGGGAGGAGGTGATGATGGTGGTGGCGGTGTACCAAGCGGCGGTGGTGGTCCGCTAGGCAGAGGTGGATTCGCGGGTGGCTGTGGATAACTTCCAGATAATGGTGGTGGTGGTGGTGGTTGTCCATAAGCGGGTGGACGTGGATACGGAGATCTTGCGTATGGAGGATAGACCGTCTGTTGAGCTTTATGTCTATCCCATTCGGTTTTAACCGTATTGATGAGGTCCTCGCATAATTTTTTTGCTTTGTCTAGTCCATCTTGACTCCAACAACTGCATCAAAAAATAATGTGCACAAACCGTCTAAGAAAATTATCTAATAACGATTGTCCTTCCTATATGCTAATTTTTTTGAACGTACGTGATATGGATGTGGAGTGGTTCAAATGCTTCAGCACCTGAAGTTGGTTCAACATATCCCGATCCGCGTCCTTTAAGCTGAACCTTTGCTCCCGTCTCTTGTTGAATATGTTTGACATAAGCGCCTTGTGGTCCAACAATTTTAGCACGTGCATTAAATGTACGATCAGGCTCAATTCCCACAAATACTTTATCTTGAACAAATTGTCGCTACGTGAAGTGCAGACGTCATTACTATGAAACTACAATCTCAATGTAGATCTATAATTCTGAACTGAGCTTACCCCTCCTGCATGGGAACCAGTTGGACGTGACGTTTGAGATGAGGGAGCGGGGGTAAATGATTGTTCCATCAACTCCCCAATCTTCTTAATCGCTGCATCTAAAGATTCCTTGGTCGACGCTGTCACATGCAAATAAAGCGGTGGATCCTTCTCCGTGGCAAGAAGTTTGTCAGGGTAGTATTTCCCTCGTGTTGTGACATCTAATGATAAAACATCATTGAAAATTTCCTTTTTACTTCTAATTTTTTTTTCATCTTTGCGTCTTTACAATTAGTTATTTACCTGCACCAGTTTCTTTTTGAATCTTCATGGTATGTATGTTAATATCAACAATCATATTACAATAGATTAATTAGGTGAAATTTACCTGTTGCTGTGTGGCGCCTTTGGTCAACGTATATCTGTTCTTACAGTCGTTAATTACAATGTCCTGTACGAATTCTAAATCGGATTCTTTTGTCGCCGCCTTAGGTAATGTAGAATCCTTGTTATGAACAAAACTTGAATGAGAAATATCAAGAACAAATAATGTTGTCGAAGCGAACGCAATACCTCTGTACCACCATTTTCAGAGACATCTAATTTGGATGGAATAACAAAGGATTTTGATGGAACTTGAATTCCTTTAGCTGCGAGTATAGCATTAATTTTCGCGGCCGCCACAGCTGTCCATATTCAATAGAAAGACTTAGAGATCGCACGGGCTGTAAAAAGAATAATGTGTATCTTACCTGCAGCAATATTGGGATCAACAGAATCGGAGTTTGAAGGGGTTGGAGAAGGTGCACTAGACTCGGACGCATCGCTTGTAGATTCAACTTTAATGGATTTTGCAATTGCGGAAGACGGCGGTGCCTCTTTTCCCTGATCATCGAGATCCCATTTACGTTTTCGACTGCAATAGATTCATGATTGAGTGAAAAATCAAAAATCAGAGATATAAACTGTTTTCATAGAATCCCTCAATACGTACGTTTTATTTTGTGAAGACATTGAAGAATTAAGTGGTAGTGTTAGTTGATGAGCAACAAAATATAGTATTGTTGATCCCTAACTGATAATACCAAAAAAAGAAATACGTTAACAGTTCTGGTATGTGTTAAGGAACTGGTATTGAAATTTTTTAAAAAAATTTTTTTTGATTAAATTTACATTTAAACTAATCAAAATCTTTCAAGAATATATAATACAGTATAAATTTTATCTAAAAAAAGTAAATATGATTGCATATTATATATGTTTAACATAAGTTACAAAATACGTACATACATATTATTGTGTTTATAATAATTTACTATATATTTTAAAAAAATCTTGAGTCGAGAAATAATTTTTTTATAATATTGATATATTATTTAACTGTTATATTTATTTTAATATTTGTAATAATAAAATTTGTAACTTTGTATTGTATTAACAGATTTATATATTATATTAATCATATTCTCTTTTAATTCAAATATTAATTATAGTTAATGTTTCAAATCTTAAAAAAACTCTTTTCTATTTCCCTTCAAACACTTAAAAATTTCCTTTTTAGGAAACTTTTGAGTTGTTTACTTTTTTTCTTCGCCTCTTCCCTAGGCTCCTAATAATATCACTTTAATACCACTTCAATACCACTTCAATACTTAAATTTACTATAAAAACATATAAGTAGGTCACAACCCATATATTAAATTTACTATAAATCGGTACCATTTCAATATCAGTTTGATATTAGTTTGATACTTTTTCAGAACCTTACTCTTCCTCTTCCCCTGTTTCTTTTCTTTCCTGTTCTTCTTCTTTTCCTATTTTTTCATTTTGTTTTTCAAACTCTACTTTTCAATTTATTTCTTTCTCTTTTTATTTTTTCTTTCCTTGTCAAAGTTGAATTTTTTCTTCTCTTTTTCCTTTTTTCTTTCCTTGTTAAAGTTAGGTTTTTCCTTTCCCTTGAAGGTTTTTTACTCTAGGCTTCTTCTTCTTTTTTAAAACACTACTTCATTCTATCACTTTTTTAATTAACGAATTTTCTTTTTTCAGAAACTATTAAAAAGTAACAATTTTTTTTCAAAATATAGGCTTTGAAAAAATTTTCTTTTTTACAAGTCTCAAGAAAAAGAATAAAAGGTTTACTTCCTTCAAAGGATCAATATGGTTATTGTTACCAAATCCAGTATTATTTATTGATTAATAAACAAGATTAGATATATCTAAGAAATTATTGTATAACTATTATTATTTAAATCTTTAAAGAATTGTACTCTATAAAAAAAAAAAAACTCTTTCCCACTCCCCCCTAGGCGCTTGAAAATTTCCTTTTTAGGAAATTCTTGAGTTGTTTACTTT